GCTCTTTACTCACTTCTTTATAGCGAGGAATGTTTCCTTGCTAATGAAGCTGGCAAGATTCATCAACCCACGGCGTTATTTACTCAAAAGAACAAAAACAATTTCTTCAATTCAAGAAACAACAACAAGCCCTCTGTCACCTCCAAATACCCTTCCTCCAGCAATCAATCAAAGACAAAGACTCAAGTCACATGCCAAATATGTTACAAAAAAGGTCATTGGACTGCTACTTGCTGGCATCGGGCTAATTTGCAATATAAACCAAACATTACTCCCAATCCAATGACTCTAGCAACCCATATTCATTCCTCACCGCAAGAATGGATACTAGACACGGGAGCCACTGCTCATATTACGCCTCACATTGCAAATCTCCAACAAGCTATCCCGTATCAAGGCAATGACAGGATTACTGTTGGCAATGGTCACAGAAATGAAATTTCACATATTGGTAAGGGTATTTTACCCACACCAAACCGTAAGTTTGTTCTTTCCCCTATTTTATGCGTTCCTTGCCTTTCACACATTTTTATTTCTGTTAATAAACTTCCTTGAGATAATAAGTGTAAGTTATTTTTGAAGATAACAATTTCTATATGTAGGATTAGCACAACAAGAGACTTTTAAATAGTGCTCCAGCTAGCCAGGGGCGTTATCTTGCTACTCACTCTCACACATCCCACCAACTTATGACATCAAAGGCTTGACCATCCTCATCAGAAGATTGTTTCTCTCATCTCTCAACAAAATCCTAATCTCAAAATTTCATCCCGATTTACTTCATGTTCTGAATGTCTTAAAATTAAAAGCCACAATCTATCTCTTAATTCCAACAATTATACATATCATTTGTTTGAAATGTTGCGTTCAGATGTATGGGGTCCGTTCTTTGTCCCTTCAATTCATGGTTGCATTTACTACGTTACATTTATTGACTCATATTCTCGATTTTGTTGGTGCTTTCTCGTGAAAAGTAAAATTGAAGTATCATCTATTTACATAACTATATAAAAATCATTTCAACAAAACTATAAAATATCTCAGATTTGATGAAGGTGGTGAGTACAAAATTCACCATCTTATTCAATAACTAAATAAACATGGTATTATTCATCAATTCAGTTGTCCGTACACTCCGGATTAGATTGGACTCGTTGAACGCAAACACCGTCATCTAGTTGAAACTGCTCGTACTTTTCCCAGCTCGGCCCATCTTCCTCTCCAATTATGGGTTGATGCTCCATCTCACTACCAAATATCTAATCAATCGTCTTCTCTCTCTTAACACTTAACTCCAATCTCCCTACCAACTTGTCTATCAACAACCTGATGTGTCTATTTTCTTTGGTATCCTTGTCACCTCCCACAACTTTAGCCCAAAGGCTCCTACATGCGTTTTTCTTGGATACAATGCACATCACAAAGGATACAAATGCTTTGATATTCTTAATAAAAAAATATATTGTTTCTCGTCATGTCTCATTTATCGAACATCAATTTTCTTATCAATCTTCTTCAATCCCCGCCATCAAATGACAATCCCTTTGCCACCCCCCCCAAACCAAAAAAGAAAACACCCTTTCTTGGTTCCCACATCTACCATTCCTGTTTCATCTCACTCGAGCAAAACAAATAGCTCTTCTTCACTGCCTAATGTTCCAACACAAGTTCCTTCCGTATCTCCTTCAACTTCTCATAATTCATTTTCTCCTCTCCCATTCTTCTGACTCTGTAGCTGCTCCTATAAACCGACACCCCATGGCTACTAAATCACAAACAGGATTTCTTCGACACACTAAATTTCTCACTCTCGAACGCTCTACCCAAGCTGATTCTCCTACCACTTTCAAAGAGGCTTTCACTAAACCTCACTGGCGTCAGACTATGTCTCAAGAATTCATGGCCCTTCAACAACAAGGTTCATGAGAAGTCATTCCACCACCTTCCAATCAACACATTTTGGGCGCCAAGTGGACTTTTAAAATAAAATATCACATTAACGGTTCCATTGCCCAATATAAAGTCAGGCTTATTGCTCAAGGATGTTCCCATAAATATAGTATTGATTATAGTGAGACCTTTAGCCCAATTGCTAAATTTTTCACTATTAGAATGCTTATAGCACTAGCTGCTCCTGAAAATTAGAACATTCAACAGCTCGATTTATCGAATTCCCACCTGCATTGTAAACTAGAAGACATTATATATATGAAACAACCCTCTGGCTTTATTGATTCTCAATACTCTAATTATGTGTGCAAGCTTCACAAAACTATTTATGATTTAAAACAAGCTTCGCGCCAGTAATATTACATTTTCTGTCAGTTTTTTTGCAGTCAAAATTTTCGTCTCAGTCAAGCCGATGCCTCTCTTCTTCTCTATCAACATCATAACATCAAAATTTACCTTTTGGTATATGTTGATGACATATTGATTACTTGTAACAACATTCCAGCTATCACCATTCTTATTTCCACTCTCTGCAACAAATTCAATTTAAATCAGATTGGCACTATATCCAATTTCCTTGATCTACAAATTCAACAAACTTCATTACGTTATTTTATTCATTAAGCTAACTCCATCAATGATCTCACCAATACTGGCATGATTAATTCTAAGCCAGTGCACACTCCTCTTCCAACTCACCCTCATCACTCTCATACATCTCCTACTCTCCAATCCGACCCCACTGAATTTCGCCAAATTATTGGTTCTTTACAATATTTGACTGTCACCTGACCCAACATAGCTTTTACAGTTAACTTCTTTAGTCAACACATGCACTCTCCCAACTCTTTGCACTACGAACACCTCAAAGGTTTACTTCGTTATCTAAATAGCACTAACACTGTGGTATATCTATACACAAAGGACCTCTTATTTTACAGGCATATGCTGGTACAGACTGGGCCGGTGATCGTGATGACAAGAAATCTATTACAGGGTTCTGTATTTATCTAGGACCTAACTTGATCTCATGGTTAGCTAAGAAATAGAACATTGTTGCAAAATCCTCAACGAAGGCAGAGTAGCGAGCTATAGCAACAACAACCACAGAAATTTTTTGGCTTCGCAGATTACTCCAAGAGATCACAGATCAATATCTCCCTCCTACAACCATTTACTGCGATAATAATTTGGCAATTGCCCTAGTTTTTAACCCAATTTTTCATGCCAGAACAAAACATATAGAGGTGGATTACCACTTCACTAGAGACTATTTAAAGCTTGCACACATATCCCTTCAACACAAAATCTGAGGATCAACAAGCCGATATCTTCACCAAGCCCTTGACAATCTCTTGACATCATCTTCTAGCTTGCAAATTAACAATCGCTCAAGCCAATCATCAACTTGATGGGGGTAAAGGAGGGTTTACTTGATACTACCTTGACATGATGTTGAATCTCTCTCAGAGCTTTGCATCTCCTTTTATGCTTCGATGCAGACCTCAAGTTTTGCTGCTGGGTTCCTCTGCCTCGATTTTCTATACTTCAGAACTTTCTAAGTTTAGGGAAAGTATGAAATTTATGCTCTCGTGCTTCCTGCATATTTACAAGTATACCTTTATTAATCATGTATAAGTATGATCTCAAAGCATGTAATAGACGTGCTGAAATAAAATGAATACTAATTTTCTTTTCTATGCTTATTCTTCTCTCTAATTTTCTTGCACATCTCTGGCCTCGTTATTTCTCAGCTTTCAACTGTCCAGGCGGAAGAGTGATTTTTTTTAACAGAGTAGGGTGCAGTGGAAGAAGTAGATGGTTGAGACTATTGAGATTAAAAACTACTCTAGAGCTAAAAAAATGGGGTTCTCGGCAGGCCAGAGCAGGAAAGTTGTAGGTTCGCTGCAAAAAGGGCAACGTAGCAAGTTTTTGAACGTTCGAGAGGATCATTATTTTGATTCAATCAGGCTATAGACACACAACCTGAGAAAGATCTAATGATAAAATACCGCAAAAAAAAAAAAAAAAAAAGCTAGAGAAATCAATATCTTCTTCATAGATCAAAACCCAAAAAGTCTCGAAACTAGGAATTAACAACATATTTATTTCTCAGAGCAAAATTAACCTTAATAATAATTTAATTAAGATAAATAGGATGTCCTAGGAGACACTACCATCCCATTTAAGCTTGAATTGCTTGAACCAATCCCTCATGGACCGATTTACATGCATCTCGGATTCGCTAGGGGAGTGGGATCCGGAGCAGGAGTGGGAGGGACGTTCATGTCATACTTCCATTTGCGACAATATATGCCACAAGAGCATAACAAAACCCTAACTCATTTTTCTCTTTCATAAAAATTTCAATCATTTGGTCATAGCATGCACAAGTACATGTTCGATAATTCATTTAAAAAATAAGTGTTTGATTTTTATACAAGAAAATCTTAGGTGATATGTTCTTAAATCTTTCTAATTTAACCTAGTATTGGAAAATAAAATAATATTTTATCAATTCATATTTAAATTGTTTATTAAATAAAATAAATAGATTAATTTTACAGCCAATTGGGCAAAAAACAATTGCTTTACATGATTTATTTTATGACTACTATAAATTTGAGGAGTTAGGCAGTACACTTTTTGATTTCTAACCTAGAGGTCTCAACGTCAATCTTAGCGGATGCTATTATTTTGATTTTTTTTTAATTCATGTAGATTTGATATTTATAATTGACACCATGCCCATCTTATATTTGTAACTAGTGGCGCGCCCCATTTATATTTGTCGTGATGTTGAGCCTGCCTAATGAACAAATAGGATACATTTCTAGTCTTTGTGGAGAAGAATCAACTTGGAGAAATCAAAATGTATTATCAAAATGTATTGGTCCTTTGTTTAGATCAACTGTCATACTCATAGAAGCTACGCTTACGACTGCTTATTAAACTAGTGTATTTTGATTATTCCAGTTTATTCCACTTCTCGAGTATTTTCTCTAGTGTTTGTTGGCCTCTTATTTTCCTTTTTAATGGTTCTCTTTTAGTTTGTCCGAACAGGTGACTTTTTGCTGCTAAAATACACAATTGTGGAGGTTCAACGGATGTTATCTAATAAACATGGTGCTTCTGAAGTGTCATGTGTGAACATTGTTTGTTCAGTAGAAGTCTATGGTTATAGAAGAGATTTAAATTTGGTAGATGCTGTTCTTTTTAATATCTACCTTTGGTGTAGTACTCAACTAGAAGATTATCACCTTAATTTCTCCTTGGTGAGTAATTTGTATTTTTTTTTTATTGCATTTTCAGTCTTTGTAATTTTCTGTACATGAACTTTTTTTTTGCATTCCTTTCCACTTTTTTTATTCTGTTATTATATTTTTATCTTTTAATTCATATATGTTTTTATGTGTTCAAGGTGGTTACCTGATCTCATAAGAATGGACAATAAAGGTTTTGGGAATGTTATTAAGACGCCTATCATGCAAACCTTGTCACACAATTTTATTTGCCAAACTAGTTATAATTGTCAGTCTCATGTCAATCCATTGGAAACATAAAGTTCCATATCGTTCTTATTTTAATTTTTTTTAATCGCTTCACGTAAATGAAAGGTTTTTATCACTTTCCCCAACAATGCTTCAAACCTTTGACTTTATTTCGGAGGGATAAATTTTTACAGATGATGAATATAGTGCATGGTACTGGAGTTGACCAACAAAAATGGAAAAGCGAATATTATTACTGCAATCAAATGGGAGATTATAACCAGCTAAAACTGAAATCTGAAATTACAACAAACAGGACACTAACTCCAATTAAAGTTGGATTAAAGGGTGGTGGTGGCGGCTGGTCAGGGTCTTGATGGTGGATAAGTGGTAGAAAAGGGCGATTGATAAGAAGAAACAAGAAGGAGGCTGTTTTGTCAAATTCCTAGACAGCAAGCAGGCAGCGTAGATCGACATGGAAGGGCTTTCCTGGGTGATGGCAGCTGGTGGAAGGTGGCGAAGGAACGGGGGAGGCGGCTAGCAGCATAGATAGAGGTGTCCAGAGTGATGGCAGCTGGCCTGGGTGGTTGGACCAGCAGGGAAACAACACAAAGCACGGTTCTGGGCGACAATAACAAGGGAGGGATGGCTGAAATAGTTAGAAAATAGCCATGGAATGCAGTCTGGAAGGTGACGGCAAGGTGGAATGGGCGGGCTGCTGATTTTGGAAGGAGGCATCATGGTGGAGGGGAGGAGAGGTGGTTTTTGGCAAGCAGCGGTAAGGTGGGACTGCAGAAAACAGCCGAGAGGCTGATGTTCTCGGCGGCGACGGGGAGCGATGTGGGAAGGATGCAGAAGTTGAAAAAGGATAATCACCGTTTTGGGAGCGAGATACAGCCAGAGCATCAATCAGACCCTTGGATGCAGTGCTAGAAGGGAGAAACAGAGATGCTGGCGGCTATTTCGAGCAAACTCAAGCCAGAAATTAAAAATCCAAATCCTAATACAACGCATATATAAAAAATAATTAGAACGGAAGGAAGTATAAGAGGTAACATTATGAAATTTAGAAAGAAAATAAAAACAAAGGTGTCTGGTTTAGTTCTCTGCTCCTATCGTTGGAATTGGTTGCCTTATCCATGCGAACATGGGATCGCGCAATCCCTTATGCTCTCGCATCAGTCTCCCGAGATTGGGGGAGTGTCGGCGCTAAAAAGTAAGTATAATAATAATAAGGGGGGGTGTAAAGTTAAAGGTTTACAAACACCTCAAGAGTGTATTCCAAGGGCGGTGGAGGTTGGCTAGGTGGATCGGGATGGTTGGCTAACAAGTGGGGAAGGCTGTATAGAGAGCGGGGGAAGGCTGTATAGCACTGTCGGCACTAAAAAGTTGGGGGAGTTGCCCGTAAGAAGCTGTCGGTCACCGGGAGTGAAGTCCCGTCGCCTGCTTCGGAAGGACGCTTTAATTTACATATAATTTTAGAAAAATATGAAATTAAATTGACCTCATATTTTTCACAGTTTAAATGAATGAGCGCTCTACCTCAAATTCTGTATCTATCCCGAGGGATAAACACAAGACTTGAGGATGAGACTCAATCAAATAAACTAAGAAATATATGACATCCGTTTGGTCTGCGAAACCGTTTTATTTGCCGACAAATTCTCCTATTTAATACAAAGAATTAAATAGGGTTTATGTTAGGCTGGGTTTGGAAAAACTTCCTATAAGGGCAAGCCTCTATAGTTAATTATATCTTAAATGACCGAAGTCACCTAAGAAAACTCTCGATAAAAATCAGGGAATATTATCTTCAAAGAGGTCAAAAGGATAGGACTTTTCAACGAAATCGGACGAAGAGGTGTGAAAGGGGATAGACTCGAATCTGGAACATTGTTGAGGAATCCAAATGAAGAGAAACTAGGGGAGACCACAGATCCTGAGGTGAACCCCGGTGGCTTTCCAGTCTATCCTATGATTTGACTTCAGTTTCGAGGATAAATCATTCAAGTGTTTCATCTTGTCAATTTTATTTAATTAGGGCTTATACTTGCATGACACGGTCGCACAAGTCGCCTAGAAGATATGAGTCAGACGACAAACTTGGAACCTAGAACGAGTTAGGGCTTCAATCGTACAGCAGAGCTATACAAATGCTTAAAGAAAAATGTGGAGGACTTATGTTGCGCTAGGCAAACAACCTCGAAATCCTATGAATTTTTGTTTAATTTCTAGAAAAAGGAATAGTTTTGCTGGGGAAGACAAGTTTTGCTGGGGAAGACGTGTTATGCTGTTGAAGATGACCGTCCTGCCCATCGCGCTAGCTCCAAGCTCCTTGCCATGACGAGTTTAAGTTTGAGTTTAAGTTTTCTATAGTTTAAGTTTTCTATGGTGTCCAGTTACGATGTTAAATCAAACAACCCTATGGCTAAACATCCCTAAACATCCTATATAAAAGAAGACATGCTTAAAGATATATAAATCAAAATGTGCAGTACAGGACAATAGTAGGATGCATGTAGAACAGTAGCAGGTAGAAACATGAGTTGTATAACATGTTGTACAGAAAAAACAGTAACAGATAAAAACAGAACAAGTATAACATGTTGTTCAGTACGGTAGAAGGTAGAAATAGAAAAATTAAGTGCTGTAAAATGTAAAGCAAATCTGTATGCCCGTTAGATTCGCTGTTCCTTAAGTATAGCAAGTCTAAATGCATCGCAAAAAGTGAAGTTTGGAAGAAACGTCATCCATGAAATCCGAAAAAAGAGTGTAACAATGACTCATGACAGAAAACTCGAGAAAAGTGACTCAAGTAAAAGAGAAGAAAAAGAATCCTAAAAAATCCTAGAGAAATCCCGAAAGAGAAGAAAAGTAACACAAGTGCCAGTGCCCTGTCCCAAAGCTTCGATAAAACAAAACACAAAAAAAGTTCGGGTGAGGGGGACCGCAAGCACTAGTATGGGGCTAGGCTCAGATATATATTTATACTCGAGGGTCCGCGAAGGCTACTCGGTCACCCGAATATATAGAACCCGCTACTCGTCTAGAAGTGTCTTGAACCTCACTTAGGGGGCTATTTCTCAGCCTAAACAAGTATTCGTCACTTGGACAATCAACTTTAAAGTATGTTTTATGTTTTTAACATGCATACAAATTTTAGACATGCAAAGAAGAGTTATCAATTTTATTTCGTAGAAAAATATGTCTTTGCTTGAAAAGGGTTTATCAAAACTTATTATATATTTTTTTTAGAAATTTTCGTTGTCCACGAGTCGATTACATTGTCGGGCATGAGACTGCAATCACCTGAGGAGGTTCGAGCCAACTCCCGCTAGATTTATGTCGGTGAAGGATACCATATCCTATTGTTCATCAAATGCCTGAATCTTGATGTTATAGGATATGACATCTTTCTGCTCTATCTTCTGTGTGTCTTTATCATCAACACCGTACGCCCCAAAACGACTACTTGCGACCTTGCTTGATGGTTTCACGTATAGCAAAAGGCTATATGGGGACGCATGCATCGGGCATAAGCATCGAAAACCGAACCAAGAAGCAAGGAAAGAAAAGAACAAAAATGAAAAAAATGGGGTGAGAGAATGAGAGAAAGGAGGCACCGATCCATCTAAAACACCGAAAAGGAGATTGGATCAGTTCTCAAAACTCGTATCGAAAAGACCTGAAAGTAGGGCCCAAGGTCTGTCCTAACAAACATGAAGGGGCACCCTGTGCTAATTTTCTTAAACCTCAAAGACGTAAGATTGATCAAGTCCACCAAATGCTTTTTTCAAAATGAGGTTTAAAATCTCCTAAACTTTAAAAGAAAGTGACCCCGGGGAAACCACCACCGATATTTCCAAACTCATACCAAAATCAAAATTCTCCAACTTTCAGATTAATAGATAGCCTCATACATTAAATAAGCACGAAATCTCCCCATAAAGCCACAAACGCTCATGGCCAGGGTCAGTGCGGTCAATAGAGAGGAGGAAGCAGCCACCAAGGCTCTCGACCAAGGCAAGGAACGGGGACAAAAGAGGTTCAAGGCTAAAGCAAGGGACAGCTGCCAAGACCCATAACCAAGGGCAGCCCAAGAGACAACAAGTAAGGCCTACGGTTAAGACAAGAAAGAGCCCAGAAAAGAACTGTTAGAGCTCACGGTTTAAGGCAGCAAAGAGCAGCTGCAAAAGCCCACGACCAGAGGTCATCCAAAGCACAAGTAAGGCCCACGGCTACGGCAACCCAGGGCACAAAGGGGCTCACGGCTAGGGCAAACAAAAGAACCACCAATGATTACTATGCTTCCTTGACAAACACGAAAGAATAACTAAAGTAATTATAATTTTTGGGATGACAAACTTGATCCACCAATAAAATTCAAGCCAATCAAGCTTAGCAAGAAGGACCAAATCACACCCAACACAATGACCTACAATAGGCCTCACGGGTAGGAATAGGAACCAGAGCCAGCAAGACCACCTCCAAACAACTTCTCGGGCAAGGGCTGAACAAAGCAAACACAGCCCCCCAACTAGAGCCAAATCGAGTCCAGCAGAGGCCAAACAAAGCAAACGCAACACCCAACTAGAGCCAAACCGAGGCCAGCAGAGGCCAAACAAAGCAAACACAGCCCCCAACTAGAGCCAAACCGAGACCAGCAGAGTCCTAACACGAGAGCTCTTAAAGCTAGTAAAAGAGCTTTAACACCTCAATAAAAGTCAAGACTCAAGTCTCCACAAAAATCAACATCTCATACTCCTGAAATGAAAACCGAGCAC